ATTCTTGTGTCGTGCTGCATAGCGCTGTGTCACTGCTCCTCTCTCCGGCCGCTCCACCTCCTGCACTGGCATTTGTTTATTAAGGGAAAGTTTGAGTCCTTTAAGAGCCATTGCTGTTTAAGTGGGGGTGGGGGGGGGGTCTTTACTTTGAGAATATGACATAGCTTTTTAATATAACCGGTGTCGTCTGGTGAAAAACACGGCGGGCAAAGTTTTTCTAAAATATGAACCGTTTTACGGTTGTGTTTTTTTTGGTTTTTAGTGGGTTGGAAATGAGTTTGAAAACCTGCAGGTTTGGAGTTGTTATTGCACTTGGCTGAGGCTCGTCTGTTTGTTTTTTTGGCTGGTTCGTTGTCTTTGGGCAAGAGGGACTCAGGAACTCTTGGAATGTGGCTGTGTGAGTGTCCTCAGATGGGCCGTTTCTCTTATTTGCTCCTTTAATCTACGTGTCGCACTCCAACTGAGAGAGCCTAATTTTTCACCTCCATCATCTCTGCTTCTCTTGGCCTCCTGCAACGTTTGCTCCTCCAAGCCTCCTCATTGCTCTCCCCTCCTTGCTCCATTCCTCTCATTTCTTTTTTTTTGTTTTTTATAAGTTTCTTCCTGGGTAAAGGGCGAAGCAGCCGATGGAGGTGGGCGGTCCGCCGCGGAGGCTTCGCAGAGGGCCCACAGTGGGCATTGTGTCCGAGCCCGAAACAATATTTACAGCAGCCCTCTCTGGGCTCCCTGGAAACAAAGCCAGTATTGATCCCCCAAATGAACCTACACAGCAGTCTTTATTGTTAGATCTTTATCTATTAAAATCAGGGGAGGAGAAAAGCAGCTCTTTCAGCACATTCCCTGGCATCTGTCGGCTTATTGATTGTTTTGCCAGAGCTGTGTACATCTTCTGGAATGCCTGGGATTGGAAAATATTAGAGCGTGATTCATTTTAATCAGCGCGAACAATGAACGTACAGAAATGTTTCCAGGTGACAGTCTAGTGGAGACCTATTGAGAGCGAGGGGCAACAGGGCACCTCATAAACACTACAGGATTTGCTAAGTACAGTAAGCGATAGATGCTGCCCTCATTAGCACTTTGACAAAAGTTCGATTGTCTGCGGTTGTTTCCATTTGGACCGAGGCTTCAAAAGTCTGAGCTGCCCCCGTGTCAGTAAACTCTTAAATTTCAGGGATGTTATTTTAGTAGAAACAACACAGTGGGTGATATTTGCACATTGGGTCACTTGAACATTCGGCAGTCTTTGGACAAGGATTGCTCATTCCACCTCACAGCAGAGACACTGTTGACACAGGGTAGTAAACCGGGAGCAGAGGTGGCTCGGGACTTGAAGTGCTGCATCATGGGAAGATGATTTTGGGTTGGCAGGCAGAGGAGAAGGCTAATGTGATCCCTTCACCTCCACAGTGAATAAACACTTTATTGTGCCAAAAGGAGACATAAGAGTCGAGGCTGCTTCACACTGAACAAACGTTTTGTTTTCCATTTATATGTAAACGTACTTATTAAACACACAACTCATGCTCGTCGTCGCAGCCAGGAAGACGAACACTGAGACTGAAGGAATCCTCCGATAGTTTATTTAAAGGGGTTATCCGTCAATTGTTTTTGAGAAAATAGTGAAAACGTCTAATCTCGAAGTTAAAGAAAGTGGATTAACAATTCCTGGATCTGACCCCTGATCCAGATCTGCACCAAAGTTTTCAGGGTTCTTCCAGGATCCACATCCTCCGCATCAGTTGATTTTGTGCAATCTTGCTGAAAAACCTATTATCGTGCACCTAAGGAGTTTGATTCCTCACCTTGAGTTTGTTATAAAGACCAAGAGGTTAGACTTTCAGGTACTCATGATCCCCTGACCCTCAACGTAACTCAATCATCACCACTCATCATCAATCGCGTCCTTTTGCGAACGCATCGGACACCGAAGGTCAAAGTTAACACGTGAAGACGTGTGAGATTTTTACTGTTCTCACTGACGTCTGTGTCTCTGTGTCCTCAGGCAACATGCTGCCTGTGTTCTGTGTAGTCGAGCACTACGAGAACCCCATGGACTTCGACAGCAAGGAGGAGCACGCTGAGTTCGTCCTGGTGCGTAAGGACATGCTCTTTAACCAACTCATTGAGATGGCCCTGCTGTCGCTGGGCTACTCCCACAGCTCGGCGGCCCAGGCCAAAGGTAACCGCCATCGTCTCTTCCTTTTTTCTTCTGTGGTCTGCTCCTCTCTCCCTTTTTTTTTATTTTTTATTATCGGGCTTTATCTCTCTAATGCTCATTAACGCCCTCTGTACTGCGTTCTCTGACGACCTGTTACTACTGCACACACTCAAAACTCACACAGTCTTTATGCCTCACTCACACAATCTGTGACCATGAGAGCCCACGGCCAGCAGATCTGAAGCCACAGTAACACGTCCTGACACTGATCCCAGACAGGACACACACACACACACACACACACACACACACACACACATTCCTAAATGCACAGGCTTACCCACTAAAATGCTTACATGCACATTCACATTCTCAGCAAGTAAAACACACAGATACACACTCGTACAGTATATATTTATACACACATACACTTGGTGACTCAGTAGGTGGGAGGGGCCGGCGGAGGAGAGGGTCTACTAATTGCACTAGAGAACACGCAGGCCGAGGGTGGCTGTTTCAAGGTGCCTCTTAGCATGCTCTTTTATTATAGCCTGTCCATCACACTTCAACACACACACACACACACWCACACACTCACACACACATCCTATTTCACTGCTCCCATGAGCAGTATCCCTCCTCACTTCCTGCTGTGTGGGTTGCTGCTTTTTTTAAAGGTAGTCTCAGGAGAAATTCTGACGTGGTTGTTGCGATTTCCGTAACAAATAAAGTTTATACAGAGTTCCCGTGTCACCGGGATACTGCAGGAGAGACGAGCTGAAGCTTGATTTAAAATGAACCTTCATGCTTAGTGATCGAAAAAGCTTAAAATAACTTTTCATTGACGCACTCTCGTTCTTTTTGTCTGCTCATGTGTTTATCGATGTCCACGAGTGTCATTATCGTTTACCTGTGTCCGTGTGTGTTTTCATGCACAATCCATGTCTCAGGCATGATTCAGGTGGGGAAGTGGAACCCTGTCCCCCTGTCATACGTGACAGACGCACCGGATGCCACAGTGGCTGACATGCTGCAGGACGTCTACCACGTGGTCACGCTTAAGATCCAGCTGCACAGGTAAGAAACGCACACAGATATTTCTCTGTATAGTTTATATCAGGAATTGATTGGTGTTTTGCTGATGGTGGTTGAATCAATGTTTGACCACCTGGAGGAATCCTAAATTCCCTTAAAGGCGATCCAGATACCTCCTGTATGACTTTTAGGTCTTGAACCAAAAGAACCCTAACAACCTTCTTGTTCACCTCTAAAACTCTACGTAGAACCTTCTCAGTGACCAGTAGAACCTCCGAAAGAAACCTTAGAGACTCTTAGATATCCTCTAGAACCTCCTCACTGACTTCTTAAAGGATCCTCTTAATAACTTAATAACTAGAAACACGCTGTAATTGTCCTCTGCCTGTTTGTGCACAAGTTACAACGTGTGTCGATGACTCCACTTTATTATTCTACCTTTCTTTTATACATACAGAGGCACAGTTACGCCTATTAATATCTACTTCCAACTGAGGCAGGCGCCAATCTACCAATGCCCTCTGCATGTTTGATACTGAGAATAGCTTTATTACTCATTCACACAGACACACTCATGCTCAAAATGCTCACGTCTCCCAGGAAATGCGAGAGAAAACATATTTTCCCAGTGTTGGGCTTGGTTTATTCGTCTGTTTAAGCGATGGGAGCACAGTCACCGAACTCACCCTCATGTCCGAGCTAACGTTTCAGCTCACGCCGCGGTACGTGATGAGGAGGATTAATCTTTTTGTTGCTGCTCTAAATTTAACTGCTAAGTGATGTTAAGTAATGTGCATTTTTTGCATTGGGGAACAAAACCTAAAAGAAATATGATAATAAAGTAACAGTGTTTTTTCAGCCGAGCACCGCTTCAGCTCTTTTCATGGTAGAAAGTGAACGTTGCTGTAAACCTGGAAATGTGCGCGGCTAAAAACGACCCGACCACAGATGAATACAAGGTTGTTCACCTGAAATAGTACGATAAATAAACCTGGCTGCACCGGCTATTTTAAGAGAACCATATTTCTTCTGAATCCGAAAGAGCGTATCGTGATAATAGAGAAGAAGACTTAACAAGCTAAAGCCGCCCCACACTGGCTGAGTGGCGCTCACTGTCGACTGCCATCACTCACCATATTGTCTGCTAAATGCTGCTCTGTAGGTGTGAGGCTCCATTGTATTTATACACTCAGTGAGAGCATACAAGCGTTTATAGATATAGACAGAAACAGGCTCATATGTGCTCATAGACTCAAAACACACACACACACACACACACACACAGCTGAGTGGAGGCTTGTGCCAGCTGCACGCTAACCCAGTGTTCTGCAACCCTCTGGAGAGCTGTTCCTACTCTTTTCCAACCTCGCTCTACCTCTCCCTCTCTCCTCCTGCTCTCTCCCTCTTTCTCCCCTCACCACCACCACCACCACCACCGCCGCCACTGCTGCCACCACCCGCCTTCGCCAGTCAAGCGCACACACTCTTGCTCGCACACACACACACACACACACACACACACACACGTTGATGTGAACGCGTCCACCACCCAGCATACAGAAGGTTGTGTTTATTTCCGGCATGCTAGCCCTGAATGCACAGATAGCTGTCTTTCTCCACTACCTCCTCTCTCTCTCTCCCTCCCTCTGTCTCCTTCCCTCCTCTTGTTCACTTCCTTCTCCCCAGAGGCTCTCTAGCTGCTGGAGCAGTCTAAGGTGTTCTGGAAAATCCATTGTGTATGTGTGTGTGTGTGTGTGTGTGTTAGGCCGTGTGTTTTCCCTCACGAGCAGATGTTAGCTTCGGGAACGTTCCACGCATCCTTTTCTATCCCACCGTTATCTCGTCGCTCGTAACGTTTCCCAACGCAGCCAACTGACAGATTTATGGACACGCACGCACACAATGGGCACTCATCACCCCCTCGCTCAATTTCTCATCTCCCTCACTTGTAAAGTGTCAAGGCAGGTTTACCGAAAAGTAATTCAGCGATACATACGTCTCACACACGTGAAGTGCAAACTGGGCGCTCTACACTCACCCACCCACCACGTAAATATATATTTCTCATTTCTAAGCTGAACGGAGCTGAATTCCTGCCGTTAGCGACTCTAGCACTACCTAACAGCAAAACCAATTTATCTATTTGATACATAAATCTATTTGGATTTTGCTGCATATTGTTGTCAGTATTGTTATTGTTTTGTATTTGTTTTTTCCCTTCTCTCTCCCCCACCCCGCCATCCCTCCAATCCCCCCAAACCCCCGTCCGCCGCAGAAATCTAGCCAGTAACACCTTAAATTGTTTTGCCGAGCACAACGAGCCAGGAAGGTAGAAGTAACACGAAATAATAGTCGCCACATGCAGCTAATGTATAATTCATGCATCAATCCAGCAGATGTGTTGTATAAAGTAATTAACTAATCAGAACAATCAGGAGAGAGAGAACGAGAGAGAGGGAGAATATGAAAGAGAGGGGGGGGGGAGAGAGTGAGGCAGGCACACAGAGAGAGAGAGAGAGAGACAGAGCAATCTCCAGATGCATCTGCTTGATGCGCCAAATGAAATCTGTCTGTCTTGGAGGGGCGCTTGCAGCAGGAAAAACGAGCAGGGGCCCGTTTGTGTTTAGACTCTCGTTCTCTCTGGTTTCCTTTCTCTGTCTCCACCGCTCTACCTATCTGATCGTTCCAGGGATTTAGCCATAATTCATCAATAAAACAGGGCTCCACTCACGCCAACAACCACGATTTACACCTTTTGTTTTGAGGAGAAGAATTTTTCACAAATTGCCAATTCGTAACGGAACACTTGATCAGCGCTGGGGGGGGAAAAGTCGATCGGCAGAATATTGATCTGCAACAACATTTTGATTAATTTGATTATTAGCATGGATTAATTGCAGAAATTATTTATCGTGTAAAACATTTACTGGATCCAGCTTCTTACATGAGAAGATTTGCAGCATTATATTGTCTTATCTGGGATTTTGATTGTTTAACATTTTCAATTTGGGCTTTGATAACTTGATGATTTTTTTTTTTTCTATTTTCTGATTTCTAATGGACTGAACTGTCTTGTAGAAAGAATAATCAGCTGAATAATTAATTGAAGAATTCAAAACTCAGCACTTGATGTTTTTGTGCATTGATTAACATATGTCGTGCGTTTTCTATTCATCATCTTCAATTAATTGTATCTGTTTGACCATATTGAGTAAAAATCTGTTTTTGAAATCAGCGATGTTTGGATGAGGAAACGATGCAGAATGTACAGCCATAATTTTGCAGGTCAAATTTATTTGCAGATATAAATTTCTCACTGTATTAGGCAGATCCAACACACACAATCAGATTAAGTGATTTTAATTTGATAAATTTGTTTATTTTATCATTTCATTTGAGATACCATCAGGGCTGCTGGCTTTCCTTTCTTTCTCCGTCTCCTCTCCATCTGAATTGTCTCTCATTCTCTCCCTTCACCCCCCTCTCTATCCCCCCCACCCCCCTCCTTTTTTTTTGCCTCCCCCTATATCTCCCTGACCTCCTCCACCCCACATCCCCCTATGTCTCTCTCTCTCTCTCCACAGTTGTCCTAAGCTGGAGGACCTGCCACCTGAGCAATGGAGCCACTCTACAGTAAGAAACGCCCTCAAGGAGTTACTCAAAGACATGAATCAGAGCTCTCTGGCTAAAGAATGTCCCTTATCACAGGTGCTGAAGCCCAGTCTGCTTATTAAAAACAAAAAGACAAAAGCCCAACCCCACTGCCTTGCTACATTAACACACAACAAAACAAACCCTGTCGCCATCACCTCTGTCTTCTATCCTTTACTTATCAAATGCCCTGAGTTTGATCAAGAGGGAAACAGAATCCACATAGAAAATCCAAATCAATGGCTATTGTCTTTTGTTTGCTGCATGATTTTTTTCTTTTTGTTTCTTTTACTGCCCCTCTCACACACACACACACACACACACACACACAAAGATTAGTACGCAACGGCAGCCAAAAAGCAGAGGTGTTTGTTGAACGTATGGTTATTGTTAGATAAACATTGGCCCGGGCCCAGAATGATCTGGATTGTTTTTTTGTTCCTTCTTTCTCGTTTGGTTCATTCTCAACATTTCATTGCATCAGACAACGGCAGATATGTGCATTCACATGTTAGGTGTTATATTGTTGTTATTTTTTTTTTTCGTCGGCTGGGAGGTCGGATAGAAAGCACTAGCTCAGATATTGTATTAACGGGCGGTGTAGTCAGTATATCACAGAGGCAGCTCTGGAGTGAATGGAATGAAACGGCAGTATATCTCTCACTGGGGCCAATAATGTGTGTATGTCTGAGAGTGTGTGTGCAAGCAGGTGTGTGTGTGTGTTTTTGCTTGACTGTGTTTGTGAAATGTATATCAACTTACAGGACAAACTGTATATGTTAGAGTGTTACTGGTGTGAGTGTGTGTATTTAGATCCGAGCCTGTGCGTAGGTGCCTTCAGTATGAAGCCAGCTCTCCTCCTAGGCCACCGTATGGTCACCTGGAGACCCTCGTTTGCGGCGTGCGTACGTGTGTGTGAGCGGCTGCTGAGTGTGTGTGTGTGTGTGTTTGTGTGTTTAGCCGGGCATGAGCAGTGCGCTGATGATGTAAAGAGTCCCTGGGTGGCGTTCAGGCGGAGCCCAGCCCGGTCTGGTAATCACCCTGTTTACGGTCCATATGTGAAGACGGCTCAGAAGAGAGCACACGCGAGCTCTGAGGATCACACACAGACACGCACACTCCTCCTCAGACACACATTTGCTATTTTCACATACACACCAGTCTCAAATTAAACTGAAGATTGTTTCCGGCTCTCCAGTGAGGATGAAACATGGTCCTGAAAATATCTCGAACTGAATCTGTTTCAGACAGTTTGGTTCAAATCTGAATTCAAATCCAGATTTGCCGCCATGCAGAAACTGCAGCTTCAGTCGAAATTAATTTTTATCTTCGTGGTATTTTGCCTCTTCTTTATTTGTATTGTCAGTTTCTTACATCAGCAAACATCAAAGCAAGAATCCAGTTTTAATAATTTTAATGTAATTTGGGAGAAATTGGCAGCTTTGCTCTGTTGTTACCTCACAGCCTGATGATCTACTTGTATCTGTGTGTGCCTTGTTCAAACATGGCCGCCATGATGGTGTTTGACATCTGTTACTCTGTGGGGTTTCGTGTGTCCCGCTGCACCCGGAGAGCAGCGGCGTGTTCCTCCCAAACCCAAATGGTCTCTGACGCCGGTCGTCACATTTGAGGGGATGTCCCTGCGTCGTCTCGATACGCGAGCTCCCGGCCCCGTGATGGTTTTTTGCGTTGTTTTCTGAGTTTTCTGAGAGACCAAAGAGGTGAAATGAGTGAGAGGGGACAGGGGGTGTTGCAAGAGGGAACAGAGGATTGGCACCTTTTTAGGATTAGTGTTTCCTTGATATTCTGCAGCGTAATCCTGAGCCCAAAAGAGAGGTTAACAGATGAGAGAATTACAGTGAGTGAGTGAAAGAGAATTAGCCCACCTCTGAACAGGGCTCTGAACAGAGAGAGGGAGAGGAGGGGCGGCGGAGCAGAGAGGGGCGGGCAGTGGGGGGTTATTTTGTGAAATGCCGCTTTTGTCCGGCGCCTTGTCAAACATTTAGTTTCATTCTTTGGTCGTGGGGAGTCATGCCTTGTGTGTTTGGCCTACAAATGACACGAGGGGAAATATATTTACCGACGCCCATTGTGATTCGGCCGGAGGAGCAGATTCTGACCCCGGCTGCAAATGTGAAGCTCACTCAAAGATTCACGGTTTCAGAAACATCAGAGAAACGTCACCAAAAATCCAACTTCTCCTGATTCCGCCTCCAGCAGCCAAACAGGCGCTTCATTTTCTTGCTTGCTACCCAGCTCAGCAACCCCCTTGCCCATCTTCTCAGAAACTATGGCAACAAACGAGATTCCCTCCACCTCACCCCACTCTTTCCCATTGCCGCCACCACCTCGTCTTGCCCCCCCCCCCCCCCCGCGTTTACTCTCACTGGGCGGCCCCTGATGCACCAGCTGCTGCGTTGCGTAGCAGCAAATAGTCATCAAAATGCCATCTTTGCAGGCCTTCACCACCTCAGCTGCCATAGGCACAACCTGGCTGCCAGTGTATATGTGTGTGTGTGTGTGTGTGTGTGTGTGTGTGTTATAGATTGGGGGGGGGGGGGGGGGTCACCCCACTTGAGGTGGATATGCGCCATAATTGAGCTGTGTTAGATGTTGGCGAGAGACGAGGCACAGTGTTGCAAATGGGATGCGCGTTTTCCCCAGCTGATTCAAGACATCAGGCGAAGTTGGAAAGTGTGTTTTTGTGTGTGTGTGTGCGTGTGTGTGCGTGTGTGCGTGTGTGTTTATCGACACGTGCGCATTCGTGTAACTGCACCAAGTGTGTTTATCTGCAGGGGTTGTACTCGGTGTGTGTTTGCATTTGCCGGTGCACCACTTTTTAACGCTGGCAGCTGGGTGCCCATAGTACCTGCCTGCTGCACCACTGCTCTCTTACACACACTTATACACACTCGCCCACTCTCGTTTCCCTCTCTCTCTTCCTGTCTCCCATGATGGGGTGTAGAGTAGATGTTGGGGACCGATAGTAGCCCAGTGCCACTTCCTGGTCTTGCTGATAAGCTCTCTGTGCTGCAGATGGCTATCACTTAAAGGGTCCACACTCAAGCTTATGCACAAAGATACAAACACACACATACACACACACACACACACACACACACACACACGCACACACGTACAGAGCCATGCTACCTGTTGACAAGCCCTAGCACAGTCCTCCTGCTGGCACCGCAGTGGCAGCAGAGACTCTGGTTATTTGCTTGATTTCACTTAGTGCGGATGAATGTGTGTGTGGCAGAGCACAGGGGAGAGAGAACAGGAGTGTGTGTGTGTGTGTTGTGTGTTGTGTGTGTGGTGTGTGTGTTGTGTGTGTGTGTTGTGTGTGCGCACTGTTTCTTTCACACATACACGCAGGGCCCCCTGTGAGAGGTAGAGTGATGTATTGAGGGAGAGGGCTGATTAATGAGGAGCGTTTATTAGAACATCTGTGTCAAAGATGGCGGAGAAAGAGGGAGCGAGGGAGATAGAGAAAAAGACAGGAAGGGGGAGAGAGAGAGAGAAAGGCTCACCCTCTTCTGCAGGCCTCTTGTTTGTTGCCTGGAGCTGCTTTAGCCCAGATATACTGTAAATAAAACATGGCAGGCAGGAGGAGAGGAGTTCATTATCCCCTCTCTACTTAAAGGAGAATTCTTCTTACTTCAGATTCATGGGTTTCAGATATCTGACTTGGGAGTTGGCTCTCAGGACCTGGTTAAACAGGAATTTGTGGTTTGCTGCTTTACCAATCACCATCCCAAATATTCACGTTTCTATTCCAGAGGCAGTAAATCAAGAGCCGAACCGTGTATTCTGATGGCTTTAGCACATCGTGACGGATCAGGAGGAGTTTTCATTTTAAAACGCCTGCACTTGCTGTTTTTCCTGATATTTGAATGGATCCAAAAGAAGCAGCAGCCTCAAGCGTAAAAGTCTGACCCCATTAGAGGGGCAATTCTTACATCTTAACCTCGACGTGAACTCCATCAGGGTTTTCATTGAACTGAGGCCTTTTTAATGTACCTAAAAAAGGCTGCTCTGCTTTACAGTGCAAGTTCACACGCAGACCTCTTCATCCTCCTGTTTTTTGTCATGACAGCATGATGCACAGCAGCACGGTTGGCACAAATTCACACTCGGTCACCAACGTGACTCTTCGCGTGCCTCGCTTTCCTATAATTGACTTCACAAAAAAAGGAAGCAGCTGAGCGGGTGTGACAAAAAGCAGCCGAACTGACTCGTCCTGGCGCGAGCGAGTACGACCAGAGTCACGTTCGCGGGATGATTAGTGGTTTAAATACCGGCAACACAGATAAGTGAACACTTCCTCATCGTGTTTTGGGTTTTCTCTTATTTGCATTTGAATACTTTCGCACAGTCAATGTCTTTCGGAACTCTGGCTTGTATGTGTGGTGTAAATGGCCCCAGAAGTCCAATTGGAATATTTCATCCAGTTCTCCATTGAGCCGTCACGAGATCTCAAGCAGACTGAAGCTAGAATTGTCTCATCTTTCTCCTTCCGGATCCTCTTATGAACTCCACAAGATTTTGCTGTGTTGTGGTTCAACGTGTTAGACTGTTGCCATCACATCACGATGCACACGGCTTTAACGGAGGGGGTCAGAAGTTCAAAGTTCAGTAGGACGAGACTTCCTGATGCCACAGCTGCCGCCTTGTGTTTTTGCGCAGGGAAGCCGGAGCCAGAGAACCAGAATCTTCCAGTTCAACCTGTTCATTGTGCTCCCACCACCATGCTGCTCTGCCAGAAGGTTCCCCTGCCATCCTCCAAGTGCATATATTATAGAAAATGATAAAGATGGCATACCTGTAATTTGAAAACAGATGGTATGGTTCTTTTGAATATTTATAACAATCAAAAACAATTTCTCCTGCACCAACCTCACTATTCGCCCGGAGGCCGCCAAGGTGTTAAAACATTCATTTTAATGAAACTGGAAGGAGGAAAAGAAAAAAAAGACAGTGTGTTTTTCTCAGGCGAAGGAGGATGGTTGAAGTGAACGTAGAGAGGGCGAAGAGTCGACTGTTAAGGGAGAGATGGGCGCACACGTGGCGGAGAGCGACATGCTCAGAGCGGCCCTCAGTCTGCTTGAAGTTGCTGTCTTAAACATATTGTATAAATAATAAAGAGGTTTATCTGTTAACATCACCCGACTTCCCAGTTGCTGATATTCAATAAGCTCTTATCTTCCTCTTTTCTTTGCAAGGTAAATATCTTTCCTGCCTTCTGCTCTTGATGTCAGCAGACGTAGAACTCAGTTGACCTCATAATTCACCCACTCTGAGATAATACAAAAAAAAAAAACCTTCAGACAAACTCAACGGCATTTGATAAAAAAACAACAGATAAAACCTTGTTTGATTTAATTTGTTTTACCTTTAGAGGACGATATGGGAAATTTCTGCATGTCTGATGCTTTTCAGTTTCAGTTTTTTTTTTTTTTTCTACTGCCGGGTTCTACCATGTCCCGATCTTTTATTTGTTTTGACAAGCTACAGTGTTACTGCATGTTTCACAAGCTTTAATATTATGTCTGTATTTTCCACAATGAGAATCCAAAGTCCCTCTCTCATTCTCTCTCCCTCTCTCTCAATCAATCTCTCTCTTTCAGAGTATGATTTCCTCCATTGTGAACAGCACTTACTATGCAAATGTGTCGGCGGCGAAGTGTCAGGAATTTGGGCGCTGGTATAAACATTTCAAGAAGACAAAAGATATGATGGGTAAGCAAAACGGAGGGGCGCAAAGTATGGCGCTCACACTTTTGTCTCTTTGCACACACACACACACACACCAGTCACCATTACAATATGTTCTCTAACCAACCGGCTCTTTGTCTTCCTGCTGCTGCATGAAGCAGAAATAAATTTTTATCTTGTTATCTAATAATTCAGGATTGTTCAGTTGAACACGGTGTTATCTTTGATTTATCCCTCATTGTTTTAACTAACACCGATGCTCGAATCGAGCTGAGGCCTCGCTCTTATTTGTTGTTTGTGTTTATGGATTGTAACTCTTGTTTTCCATGAACAAAAAGCAGCGATGACTTCAACCGGCCAACGCCTAGTCTGAAATTCAATTATATTTCTTATCAACCCTCTAACAAAGCAGGCTTTATATTATCTAAAGAAATCCCCTTTGACCTGCCAGGAAATGAGGTTATATGACTCTGATATATAACGTTTTCTGATTAAGCAGATCACCACTGTGTTGCAAAGCCCATAGTGCAGTTTAATCTTCAGATATTAGCTTTGACAATCTGTTGAACAATCTTTTTTACTTTTCCAGTGTGCGGCTGCTTGCAGAGACGACACATGAGATGCTATATCAAAATGTTTTCACAGCGTCCATGCAAATAGCGTGTTGTGATCATATCTTATCTGATGTTTTTTCTTCTTCTGTTAAAGTGGCAGCATACGCTGGGAACACTATTTACTTCAGACCTGCTGTACTTGTGTATTCTCTTGCATACTCCCACACATTTTCTGTCACAATAGCTTTTTTTTTTCTTTTTTTTTTTTTGTGTTAAATCTGGTTTTATGTTCCTCAAAAGTGGGACTGTACTGCAGCTGCCAGCCCGGCTTCTGTGGCGCTGCTGCTGCCGTAGGTGTCATATTCCTGCTGGAGTGGCTGAGAACTAATGTAGAAAACCTTAACCTGGTGTTTCTTTCCTCACACTTCTACTCTGTCTGCTGTGTGTGTGTGTGTTTGTGTTTGTGTGCATATGCGTGACCTGCCATCCGACTGTGCAGGCATGCGCCAACCCTCCCAGCTTGAGGGCTACCTGGGTACGTGTGTCCTCCGTGAGAGCCCGCGTGCCAATGCATTAGGTATGTCACAACATGGGCACACACACACACACACACACACACACACACAAACACACAAACACACACCTACACACTCTTGTTTTTTCACTTTGGAGGACAGTGCATTCGCATAGATGAAATTCCTGAAGACTTACTGCAGCCGTAAGAAGAACCACTCATGCCTCGACATTACTACTTTAAACCTATATTTAAAAACAGATTTTTCTGTAAAATGTTAGCTTAGCTTCTTAATAGATTACTTGTGTGTTTTTGGGTTTGACATTAAATAAACCTATCTGAGTGTGACCCCCCATCCCCTCTAAGACCCAGGTGTACCTGCACCCTGACAGATTGCTTTAACAATGTCTTAGAACGACGGTGAATTCACTTCAGAACAGGTTTTTCTTTCGGTGCCTCAATATTTTAAGACCAACATGCCCATGGGCTCTCAGAACATTTGCAGTTTAAACATAATGGGCACAGAATGACAACAATGAAAACAGCTATGGTTTGAACTTAGAAAGACCAGATGGACAAACAAGGCTGAAAATCCTTTTTTTCAACTCGAGTAACTCTAAATCTGTTTCCCCCTTGACTGAAAACAAAAGCTTGAACTGCTAAACTGTTCATTTTAATGTGTTTTTGTATCGTTCTATCTGAGGTACATCAGGTACTGATAAGAAAAAAAAAACACTCTGTATACGTACACAGAGGCAGTGATAACAGTTCAAGATGTGCTTACACACAAACTCTAAGAGCGCCTGTGTCATGTGAGCCAAACCTCAGACACGAAACCTTGGCACACGAGCATCAGGTGCCCAACACACACCCGTGGCAACTCCTCTAACCTCAATATTCATGACGAGCTGCTGTCTGTTCGGTGCACATGGCCACAAATGGCAGGAGGAGCGAGTGCGGCAGAAATGCCAAGTATGAAGGCTGGGAGAGGGAGTGCCGAGGTCACCCCTTTGTGGTTTGGCCTCAGCGTCACGTGTGACTCTGCGTTTACTCCGCCACTCTGCGTTCAGCAGTTTGAGCCTGAAGTCAAGGGGAATGAGTACCTGGTCACAGGTGCTGGCAATGCACTCCGCCGCTCTGCCAGCTGAAGGGCTGTTACCGTCCGCCAGCGAGCGCGTTGTTCTTTTCTTTTGACGTGGCAGGGACGCCAACACAGGAGAGGGAGTTAGGTCACTTTGTGTGTCTCTCTCTCTCTCTCTCTCATTCCCTCTCTCTCACTCTCTGTCACATACAAGCATACACTCCCTCCCTCCCTCAGCCCACATCCCATTCCCATTGTGTGTTTAATCCGGGGCTCTTTTGTGGCAGGATTCCACATGAGGACTCCCGCTTCTGTGGCAGCCTTTTTCTCCCAGGGCCTGCCATGCTCTTCTGTCACCCCTTCTCTTTTCAATTTGCATGGAAATGCCTCCGTGTGCCTGTGTGTTTGTGTGTCGTGAGCATGCCCCCCAGCAGTCTGTGCGAGCAGGGATATGCACACACACGCACACACACACACACATGCACACAAGAAACACACACACATTCACATATGAGTGAATAGGAGCGCCATACCATCAGAGCCAGGGAATGCCAGGGATTATGGGAAGAGATGTGATTATTACCAAGATTTTTTGTTTTGTTTCTTTCCCACCCCCAACCCCCCCCCTGCATCATTTGTTTTCGACAAACACTCAATAGACCCGTCTTGGCCGGGCGTTTTGTGCGTGCTGACAGTTAAGAAACAGGCAGCTCAAAACACACGATTATTGTGGGTATTTTTGGAAAACATCCATGCACTTAATCTTTCATCTGCTAAAAAATTCAGCTTATTGAAGAACACCACCACCACCACCACCCAATCCCCCCCGGAACAGCCATTTACGCTTTTCACAATCTCATACGCTGCTTTTCTGTGGAATGTGGAGGCCGCAGCACACTTCTGAGGTGTTAATGTTGCCATCCGTGTGAATTCTCAAAACGCTGCCCCCTCACACGCTCGCTCGCTCGGCACGGTGCACGCAGAAAAGTCTCAGCATATGCGGATTCCTTCAAGATGAACCGAAAACCTCAAAAACATTCGGCTGCTCCAAATGCTCGTTCACTTCGCTGTGGGTAGCACTTTGAATGTTAAATCATTGTTTTCATTCTCTGAGCACATAATTTAAACCGGTGTTAAAATATTCCCCAGCAGCCATTATGGACTTAAAGATTCCCAAAGCAAGAGATGCCGCTAAAATCTCTTAAATGCCATTAAATGACGGCACACAGATTTCATTTAAGTCCGTTCCGTTCAGGTTACACACCACATCCTCTGATGTACTCCTCCTGTCTCTGTTCACTGCTCCCTACATTTATATTTAGACCACCCTCCCCTAAAAGTGTCATGTTGTCGGGCTCGTGTTCCTTATTTTAGAATTAAGGATGTAAAGAGAGAATCTGATTTATCAGCATAGCTCCTTTGTGGATACACTCACACTCTCACACACACACACACACACACACACTCACACACATGAATCCTGTACTTATACATACACACACGCCACTGTTTTGCCAAGATTTTTTTTTTTTTTTCCACGTGATGAGGCCAGACGTTCTGAACTTAATTTCGAAGGCATGGCTTGTGGGAGACACAGGTCAAACACAATGAAGCCTTTTTATCTGCGTTTCCATCTTTTTCTTTTTTTAACCAGTCGTTGGCGGATCAACTGGAATGTTTGCTGACCCGCTAAGTCTCACTAAAATTTGATCTGATACAGAGAAGATCTGTTTCATTCATTCGTCTCATTAGAGACAATGGCTATTTGAGTTGTGGTCATGATTTTGCGATTAAAGTGTCACATTTTTCAGATTGACCAGCACATGTCATTCAGATTTTTCCTCTCTTCCACTCTACGTTCTAATCCAATCCAGTGTTTTCGTTGGGATGTTTGTAGTTGACGTGAATGTTTTATCAGCTGTGTTTCCTCCTCTGCCAGCTGAGATGGACGGCCTGTCTGACCTGTCCCCACCGAGCTCTAACCACAACCACAATCACCTGGGCTTCTCCCAGCAGCAGCAGCAGCCCATCCCCGGCAGCACAGCAGAACAGACTCCCTCCTCGCCAGTGCCGCCGCTGCCTCACGCTCCACCGTCACACGGTGGTCAGACAGGAGGTCGGCAGCCCCAGCTCCCTGGCCTGCACCACCCGGGCCTGGTGTCCACGCCCATTAGCCCCCAGCTGGTCAACCAGCAGCTCGTGATGGCACAGATCCTCAACCAGCAGTATGCAGTGAACCGGCTGCTGGCGCAGCAGTCCCTGTCACAGCAGTACCTCAACCACCCACCTGTCAACCGCAGCTCCCACAACAAGCCCATGGAGCCACAGGTGGGGTCCAACACGGAGGTGTCCGTCGAGATTTACCAGTGGGTGAGGGACGAGTTGAAGCGAGCTGGCATCTCTCAGGCCGTCTTCGCCCGTGTGGCTTTCAACAGAACCCAGGTGAGGAGGGAAAGACAGCCGGGCTGGAACAAAGCTACTACTGTAAAAAAAAAATGGAAAAACTGGAATAATTGTCACTACAACTTATCGTCTTTATGTGAATTATGTTTCTAATTCCCTTCCATGTGCCTTTGATGAGGAAGCTCTGGTTTGGCAGCTGATTGAGAAACAGTTTTTTCCGATAAGAAAATTAGATCAAAAGTTGGTCAATGGAACCAGGCTCATCCTGGACCTCGATAATAAAAAGTTTTGTAAATA